TGGACCTCATCCATGTAAATATATTGAGCTACGTGAGCAGAAAGTAAGAGGGAGACGGAAGCTAATTCTCAGCGTAAACTCTGTGTCCACCGAGGCGAAATTAAAAAGTTCGTCGACCGGCCGACGGCCTGCTCATTTCATCTCTAATTTCTCTGTGCATTCGTTTTAGTTTTATTATTATTTATTTATTTTTTCCTCTCTATTGGCCTAATCTCCCTGCAAAGACCCGATGAGCCGCCTGCTCCTGCCGCACTTAATTGAGTTCCAGCTCCGTAACCCGTAAGGCTCGTCCCGTCGGCTTGTTTGTTATCCTCCACGGACCTAAAAGATGGTTTTGTGCTGAAGCTGCACTTTTTTTTCACAGACAGTAATTAAAGAACCTGAAAAGAATTCATTTCAGGGAGACTGGACGAGAGAGAGAGAGAGTGAGAGAGAGCGAGAGAGAGAGAGAGAGAGAGAGAGAGAGAGAAGACAAAAAGACAGAAAAAGAAAGATGGAGAGACAGACAGAAGGAGAGAGCGATGAAGAAAGACAGACAAACAAAGATAGAGAGATAGAAAAAGAGAGATAGTAAACAAAGCTAGGAGAAAGAGAGATAGAGAAAGGTGCAAACAGAGAGAGAGGTAAAACGAGGGGGTAATAGAGAGAGCATGACAGAGAGAGAGAGGAGAAAAGGAGAAAGAGACACAGAAAGAGAGATAGGGAGATAGAAAGAGAGAGAGTGTAAAAGGTAGAGAGAAATGTACAAAGAGAGAAAGAGGGTGACAGAGAAAAAAGAGAGGGAGAGATCAAAAGAGAATAAGAGAGAGGAAGAGAAAGAGAAAGGCAGAGAAAGACAGAAAAAGAGATGGAGAGATAGAAAGAGAGTGACAGAGAGAGTGGAAGCAAAAGAGAAAGGTAGAGAAGGACAGAAAGACAGGGGGAGGTAGGGAGAGAGAGACAGAAGCAGAGAAAGAGAAAAGCAGAAAAAAATGACAGAAACAGAGAAACAGAGAAAGAAAGAGTGAATAAGAGACACGGTGAGAGAGAAAGACAGAAAGAGAGACAGAGTGGGGGGTATAAAGAGAGATAAAAAGAAAAATAGAAACAGAGTGATAGAGAGTGAAAGACAGAAAGACAGAAAGAAGGAGAGAGAGAAAAGAGGAGCAGAAAAAGAGAGAAAGAGTAAATGTGAGACAGGAAGGTAGAGAGTGAAATAGAGAGAGAAAAAGGACAAAGAGAGAGGTGGAGAAAGATAGATAGAAAGAGAAAGCATGAGAGAGCAAAAGAGAATAAAAATGAGTGAGACAGACAGAGAGTGAAAGAAAGAGAGAAAGAGAGAGAGAGAGGGAGAGAGAGAGAGAGAGAGAGAGAGAGAGAGATCGAAAGAGAAAGGAAGCGGAAGATAAAAGGTAGAAAAAGACAGAAAGAGAGAGGGAGAGAGAAAAGGGGAGCAGAGAAAGAGTGAAGCAGGAAAACAGAAAGAAAGAGATAAAGAGTGAATGATATAGAAAGTGAGAGAGAAAGAGAGAACAAGACAAAGAGATACAGAGATAGAAAGAGAGACAGAGTAAAAACAAGTGAGAGGTAGTAAGAAAGAAAGAGAGAGAGAGAGAGCAAGATCGAGAGAGACAGACAGAGAGAGTGAGACAGAGGGCGAGCGAGAGAGACACAGAGAAAGAGAGACAGAAAGAGAGAGAGAGAGAGACACACACACAGAGAGAGAGAGAGAGAGAGAGAGAGAGAGAGAGATTGAAAGAGAGAGGAAGCAGAAGATAAAAGGTAGAAAAAGACAGAAAGAGAGGGAGAGAGAAAAGGGGAGCAGAGAAAGAGTGAAGCAGGAAAACAGAAAGAAAGAGAGAAACAGATAAAGAGTGAATGAGAGATATAGAAAATGAGAGAGAAGGAGAAAAAAAAGACATACAGAGGTAGAAAGAGAGACAGAGTAAAAAATGAGTAAGGGAGAATAAGAAAGAGAGACAGAGAGAGCGAGAGAGACAAAGAGAGAGAGAAAGAGACACACACACACAGAGAGAGAGAGAGAGAGAGAGAGACCTCCTATGCGCATTACGCTGGTTCTCTGACCCGCGGTTCTAAAATAGAGGCTAATATGGATTCTCTTCGCACGTCTGCTCTGAAGCTGCTCGTGCGGCGCAGACAGCTCGTTCACTCAGCTGAATGGTCTGCTTTAATTTCAGCCTGGAGGAGGTGTAGTGCTAAATTGTGTCTGAACAGAGAGAATAATGGAGAGAATGTTATCAAGCTCCTCCGCGCTGCCTCTGCGCGCTGGATCGGTCTTCTACACATAGCATTAGCCTGGATTTCAGCAGCTGCATCTGCCTGGGAATACTTTAATAACTCACATTAAGAGGCTCTGAGTGGATGAAAGGCTGCAGTGTGTCTGTACACAGCTGGATTTGCTCTTTTCTCTGTTAAGGGTGAACTGCAGAGCTAGAACAGCAGACACCTTGATTTACCTCATTTTTGCTGTCGGAGAACCTGTCATAAAACATATTGACTGCACTCTCAGAAAAAAAAGGTATGGAACTGTGACTGGGGCAGTACCCCTCCTGTCATGGGGTGGCACCCTCAATGGTACATCTCAGTACCTTTAGTCAGGGAACATAACTGTACCATAATACATTGAAATGATATTTTCTAAGCTGTACTGACTCCACACACCCCGTCTGGTCTCCAGGCTTTTTATTTTATTGTTCTGTTTTAAATCATTTGGTTATGAAAAGGTATAAATATGAACTTTTCACCTGGAAAAACTTATTTAAGGTTCACAATTGGTCCTTAAAACCACTGTTGTAACTTTGTGGAAACATTTACCTTATTTGTACCTTAATGAATGGAAAATTTACCTGCACAGAACCTTTATTTCTAACAACGCAGTGTTGGAAAGATACTTTAAAATCCAGTAAAATGTCCCCAAACTTACTTATTTATCCAGTTATATGCAGATCATGAAACTTACTAGTCGAATAACAAAGGCAGCCTTGTTAATTTGTACTTTTCCCAGGCTGAACAGCAGAAAGCAAAGCTTGAGAGTGACCTAAGCATATATAGCCTGTAGAAATAAAGGTTCTGTGCAGGTACCTGTTTCATTCATCAAGGTTCAAACAATGTAAATGTTTCTCAAAAGGTACAACAGTGGTTTTAAGGTCCAATTGTGTACCCTAAGAAAGCTTTTCCAAGTGTTTTCAAACGTACACTTTTCATAACCTAATAAATTGGAAAATATAATTTCAATGGATTATGGTACAATTATGTTTCCTGACTAAAGGTACTGAGATGTACCCTTGAGGGTACCACCCCAGTGACAAGAGGGGTACTGCCCCATTGACGGTTTACTATCTTTATTTCTGAGAGTGTAGAGGGCACCAAAAAAGTGTTTTACTTTGCCTTCACTATCAAATTAAAGCTGCACTGTAAGATTTTTTGTTATCATTGAAAAAAAAAGTAAATCAACACAACAACCTTAAAAGTCAGAGGTGTCAGAGGTGCCACATCAAATGTCTTTACACATTAACGTCACATGTGCAGGCTCAAAAAGAAGGTCCATCCCAATGTTTAGGTGTCAAATGCAAAATTATACTGACTAAATTATATTTATGCTGATGAAGATATGATGGCAATAGAAGATAATTCACTCACATCCCCAGAAAACACATCAAATTCTGACTGAATTCTCTTTCAACACACTCGCAATCATCAGATTCATCCGCTCAGGGAAGGGATCTGAAGCACAACCCACGTTACAAGACATTCTTCCGCAAATTGTGTGCAATTACACATTTCCACCAGAGGGGTCTCTAAATCCCCAAAACTAGAGTATAGCTATAAAGTTCTACATCTCAGTGGTTGAGAGCACATGACAAAATAATACAAAAACAGATGGTATGTTGCACTATTGGTTGATGAGGGAAAAACTCAAAAGGACAAAACATTTTGATTTTATTTAGACATTTTCATTGTATCATCTCCATTTCAAAGCTGCAGTCAAGTGTAGCATATTGCTGCTGTCGGAAAAAAAACCTTGTATCTCAATTTTTTTTCAGTTTTAGAAAATTTGAAAATGCCTGTTGCCCTTTATATTGTGGATAGATTTCATGCTGAATGGGCCAAAACAAATAGCCTAGACTTGACAAGAAGTCTGGCTCCATTTACTTTCATTAAAAGTAAGTTTTTTCCTTCTCTTGTAAAGTTATAATTTTGGAGATTTTGTTCTGACAATAGCAATAAGCTTTGCTCTTTTAGCAGCTCCAGTATTTCTTATTTACCCACCTTTACCTAAAAAAAAAGAAAAACACATTCTGTGGTCCCTGTTTTTTGCTTTTCTTGTTTTTCTGAAAGTCTGATTTGTGTGTTTTTAAGGAAACTCTTGTAGCCTAAAGCCCAGTTCACACCAGACGTGGCATCACAGTGGTAACGCGTGCATGAAGTGCAAAAATATGCTTTGGGTCTATTTCTGACGCATGCCATGCTAGCAGTTTACATGCAGAAACAGTAGAGAAATGCAATGTCTATGCTATAGTATACAATCTAGGCTAATAAACAAATCAACAAGTCCAGTTTTAACTCTCGGACAGGTTGACTGAAATCCCTTAAGTCAGTTAATGTTGTGAACACACAGGCATCTCCACCTCTTCATATAGAGCTACATCACCTTGTGAGAAAGTCAGCAAAAGTCATGGTAGCTCGAGATTTTATTGTTGATCTCTTTATGTCAACTACATAAAGTTTGTATGTGTAATAAATGGACAATACAGACATTTATAGTACGTGAAAACGCAACACAAAGAGCAACCACTCTTGCTTAAATACCAAATGTCGCAGAGTGGTTCCGGATTAACATGCGCGACGCGTCACATCTGGTGTAAAATAGGCTTAACAGTTCTTCTAGACTACACTACTGATAGTGTAAATGGTGAGTGTGGTGTGTAAATTGAGAATCTTTCAGGGAGCCGAAAAGTTTTCACCTTTCCAGTGCTTATAATGATTTGGGGACATCTTACCTCGGTTGTGAATCGGTTCTCGTTTGCGGCCGGTGGAGGAGCTGTGAGTGACGTTTTGGAAGTGTGTGATCTCCATGGTGGTGTTGGTGCGGAAACTCTCTTTAAACCTCTGCATCAGAGCCTCCACTGTCTCCTGCTTTGGGTCCATCACTACAGAACAAATGACCAAAACACACAAACAGATGAGTCCAGTGCACAAACACATATAGAGTAAGAGTGTAATAGAATCAGGGGCTGCAAAGTGGTGTAACTGTTTAGGCCAAGGGTGCCAGATTTTTGCTCTTTGAGGGGTAAATATAAATGCGCATGGTGGGCTGAGCACTAAAAAGACAAAACAATACACAGTCATATGCAAAAGTTTGGGTAAACTGTTTATTTGCTGAACTTAACATACATGAAAACTCAATAAATAAATGGAAATATAAAAAAGTCATGGTAGGAAGACAAACCTGACACTCACAGAGGTAAAAACAGTGAATTTTATTTAAATTCCATAAACAAGCAAGGGTTGGAACCCAGAGAAGGAAACAGCCAAACCTCCAAAGTCCAAAAGAAAATCCAACAGAGCAAATGATGGACAAAAAAGGGACAAAATAAACAGGAAGACCATCCACTATGCAAAAGACAGTGCTGATGGCAATACTTCACAATGAGTGAATGAAAGGACCAGGTATATATACTAGCAAACCTAATGAGAACAGGTGAGAGTGATTAGAACTCAGGGAAGGAGGATCTGTGTAGCTGTTAATGATTGGTAGATGACGGACTTGTGACTGTGACATCAGAACCAGATGCATTATGGGAGTTGGAGTTCACAGGTGTGTTGAAAAATTCGAGGGAACCAGGTAACCAGTAAAGTTCAATCAGATCAACCTAAAAGAATTGCTTAATGTTGTATCAAGCAACTGAGCTTGTTTAATTAAACTCAAAAATGACTTTGATTGAAATAAATGTTCATTCAAAGTATTTTTTTATATTGAATAAAACAAGTTAATTTACTTGTTAGCACATGAAGTATTATTTCTTTTATTATTTGGTTGAATTGATGAGCCATTTTTACAGTGTAGAAAATCAACAATAATTTGTTTTTTGACCAGGGGTGTTCAAACTTTTGCATATGACTATATGAATAGGTTTCAAATCAAGTTTTACAAAACATATTTTAAAGCATTAAACTATATTTAATGATTTTAAATGGAAAATAATAATTTCATGAGTTATGTATCGGAAAAAAAAACTGGTTTTTTTTTTTTCATTTGGTGAGGGAGTGGGGTTAGGGAAGATTTCTAGTGGGCCAAATCAAATGTCGTTATTGGCCAGCTTTGGCCTGTGGACTGCATTTTGGGCAGCGACGGCCCTGTCATCAGGTGATTGCAGGTTTGGTCACTGGTGATAACATAGTCATCTGTATCCCAGAGTTCTAGAGGTCATTCTGCTCTCTTGGGTAGGATTCCTGTTATCTGACACATCAGGAAGCTGACATAACATGCAACTTTATGTAACTCACAGGAAGCATGTGCTAGCCTTCACCCTTGTGTCATGGGGAGACCAAGCCAGTGAGCAGAACTGGCAATTAATCAATTTAAAAGAAAAATGAGTAAACATCCCAAAAAAAGGCTGCTAAAGAATCAAGTCAGTGATTGAAAATGTGTTATTCATTCCTGGTGCCTGGATTGGAATACTGAAATCATCTTTTAGGTATTTGTTATATTGCAACAAGGGAGGTTAAGGACAAAATATGGTGCTGATAAAGAAAAGTGGCTTCAAGCAATACTTTGACACAAACTGTCCAGGCCAGAGGCCAAGAATTCAGAGAATCTGTTTGTTTTAAAAGCAGCATAAATTGTGTACTGGTTTACCACATTTGTTTATATGTGGCCAAACTCCTTTCCTCAACTTTTACACATTACCTTGTACAGATTGTTCAAAATGTACAACCCTAATACAAAGAAGTACAAAGAGTATTACTTGACTTACAAATGTGCTGTAAGTTTTCATTAACACGTCGACACTTAGTCTGAAAGGGTAGTGTATGATGTACAATGTGGAAAAAGATGCTGACAGCATGAAAATGCAGTATAAATGTATAGAGGAGGACAAAAGGGGAAAGGCTGCATTGCGCTGCTTGGAAATGAATTACTCAGCAATGTTCTTCAATGAGAAACATGGAAACAGTTATAGGACGAGGCATAAGAAGTTTGTTGCCTTTTCCATTTAGTCATTCTCATGGTTAGTAAAAGAACATGGACGCTGTTTATCACTCGCAAGTGCGCCACTACTGTTAAAATTGTTCTTCTCTTAATATTGAGTGCATTCACATGTCTGTTTAACAATCCAATAACTGCAGAAAATCGGATTTTGTCCGTAATCCATCCAACACATTTACCTGCACATGAGTAATCAGATAATTGGGAAACTCCAGGTCTACATGAGTCAGGCAGTAATCAGATTTCTGCATTACAACCAGCCAATAACCTCACAGAAAAAGACGTGATGTAAACGTAATGCAGAACTAAAACTTCATGCCATGGCTTTTGTTAAAAAACCGTCACACCACTTTACATGAAAATATGAACATATCTCACTTATAAGATGAAGAATTTAAATCATTAATTTCATCTAGCACGGTTTTGGTTGCAGCCTCACTCCAAAAATGTTTTGCTGCCATGTTGTGGCAACGCTGCTGCTTATTTCCAGTACCATCTGCTTTTGCACATGCACAAATTGAGAAATCCGAAAGAAACCAGAGTAAGCGTTTACATGCACTGAGAAATCTGATTACTGAGCTAAAATCCAACTCTCTTTATCGGATTTCTTAATCAGATTTATAGACCTTACTCTACAGTAAACAGTATACTGTTTACATGACCATCTGAATAATCATATTACTGCAGAAATCCGATTGTAATTGGATTATTGAGAGCATGTAAACACACTCACTGCTAAAAAGGTACAATAAATTAGTCAAAATAATGCAGCTTGTAGCCAGTAATTTATTGTCAATACACAGTGATTTTTACAGTGCAAAATTACAATCCTTTACAGTAAATACCCTAATTTTGTAATCTAAGTGATATTGTTGGCTGTGTGTGTCTTTCTAGGGGATAATAGGTCTATTTGAGCAGTTTAACCATGGTACTTCTAGATGGCCATCTTTAGTGAAGTGCTTCAGTAAAATAGTTCATTTTAGTGTTTGAAGAAACAAAATATATCTCAGATTGGTACTCAAGGTTTCACTGTTGATATCTGAAAATCTAGCAGAAAATCCCCTAACCTCTGAAAATGAAAGTGAGACTCCCCATTTCATGCCTTTGCCTTTGGTTTATGGGTTTAAACGTAGAGCAGGAGAAGGTAAGGAGAGAGCAAATGACCTCAAAGCAATCACTTCATGCTGGAGACAAGTCTGTTCATGCCCCTGCCAAGGAGATAGCCCCACCATCAGGGTGTTTCTTGTAAACCGGAGGCTCTGAGCAGCACAGTGCTCTCCCTCACCTCACCACCTCCCTCTTCTTCCAACAGTCTCTCTCTGAATCTCACTGACAGATGCCTGGTTTCCACCTTTGAAGACAAAACACGTCTGTAGCTAGGCAAACCTGGAAGGAAGAGGCATCACTGGAAGCCTCGGCCCGCTCGTTTCCAACTGATCAGTCCTTGCTGCACCCACAAATGTGGATGTGCATTTGTATTTGTTAATCTGGTATTTTTATCCAAAGCAACTAAAATATGAAAAACAGTAGAAGATAAAGGAATACAAAGAACCCCTAGAGTCTGCATACATGTAGACGCATTATACACTAGCTTGACTTAATTAACCTTTTCAACTACTTGAGGCCACCGGTATTCCAAAAACGCACTTCATCATATTTTTCATAACTTTCATATTTCATAAGCTTCATTCAAAAGGTGGGGGTCATACGAGAGCTGTAACTGTCTTCTTTCCAGTCAAATAGATGGGTGATGTAATTTTAAACCCTTATAATAAAAGAAGCTGAACTCACAATTTTTTTTTTTTTTTCCTACTGAAAGTCGACCAATTTTTCCTCAAATCTGGGCTATAAACTATAAACAGATGGCGTCTATTCAGTGATCTGCTCTGTAAACATTATTTTTATAAAATAATACAAAGAGCGTCTAAGATTTTTGGCTTTCAGCAGTAAATTGTAAGCATATAGCAATATGTGTATGATCATAAAACACATTCTGTTAATTTGAGGGGAGCTTTTTTGAAATAAATAAATAAATAAAATAAAATTTCACATTTATTTCATGCAGTTACTGAATAATTTGCCTTACGATTTGGTCATGTAAATTCAGATGGAAAAAGCAAAATATACCCTGGAGAATAAGAGGTCAAATAAATACAACTTTAGATGTTGAGGACAGGTCAGCTTTTTGTGTTGTAAATAGAAAACAATAAATAGAAATATTGACAGCAGTAAACACAGAATGCGACGCATACAATTTGGAATGTGTGGATCCAGTTTTTCATATTATAACTATATACACTGGACATGGTACAATTTTGGGGGATTTTTGCTGTGTTGTTCATGACATGAAAAAAAGCAACAGACGTGCAAAACTTCTTTTATAATTCCAAATTACTAGTGTTAGTGTAGAACTGTGTTGGGTAACATCATGACAAGTTCTGAGGAGGTCTAAACACCCAACAGGGTGGCACGGTGGTGCAGTAGTGCTGTCACCTCACAGCAAGAAGGGCCAGGGTTCAGTTCCCCAGCCGGGCAACCAGGGTCCTTTCTGTGTGGAGTTTGTTTGTCCTGTGTCTGCATGGCTTTCCTCTGGGTAATATGGGTTTCTCCCACAGTACAAAGACATGCAGTAAGGCCAATTGGACATGCTAGATTGTACCTAGGCATGAATGTATGTCTTTGTGTTTGCCCTGCGATGAACAACCTGTCCAAGGTGCATCCAGCCTTCCGCCCAATGACCACTGGGAGAGGCTCCAGCACCCCCCACAACTCAGAAAGATAAGCAGTTAAGAAAGAGTGTTTGTGTGAAACAGCCAACAGATTCTACATAATAAATAAGTAAGTTTGTTGTACAACCTCTGCTGTACTGTGCAAGAATTCTGGGTAAAAATGAGTAGTTATATGATGTAAAAGATTGTACATGAAACAATTTACTTCCCTACT